ATTCTTTGCCATATCGACAGACCGAAGGGCTAGAACCCAAATGGCCGCTGGATCGGAAAAGTAAAGTAAAGTAAAGTAAAGTATAAGCCACTTTTTCTAGCCAACTCAAAATCGAGGGCAGACTCGGTTTGAGAGGGATACGATATCATTGCAGAAAGACCAAGACATGGGATGAAAACTCTCCCCATTTTGGAATTAAACTCAGGTCTTCTGCGTGCCGTACTCGACTTTGATCATTTGTGGGAAAGGCTGATTTGTTCCAGACGCACGTCTGAACAGGGCAGAGAATGATACAGCACCCCAGCAGGCAGACAGGGATATATGTACAAGATTGGTTTGGTTTTTTTTTAATCCTTCCCATTCAGAAATCAAACTCATGTCCTCTGTTTACCATGGCAAAGAGACTAAATTCAACACCTCAAACTCTAGTTATCTTATTTAACATGAGAACATGAATACGGAAAACACAAGATGAAGATGAATGGCATCTAAGTACAACATGCACAAACAAATGGACAATTAGCCAAGAAATAGCCAAGAAGAGATAGTTGAAAAAAGAAAACCACCAGTAGTAAATACTGATGATGATGACAATGAAAACATGACTTTCCCTTTGAGGTAAAAGAAGCATGAAGCACTTTGAAATACAATGGCCATGTTAGAGCAGAGGAAAAGAAAGACAGGCAGCAGACAGAAATAGCAGTGGGAAGAAAAGAAGGACCCTCAAGAGGCGCCCAACAGACACCCGCGATGAAAAGAGAATAAACATGAATACCTTACCAATCAAACGTACAACAAAAAGAACAGTTAGATACATTCCACACAATAAATTTATTAAATATAATATACATATATTTCAGCTTGGTTACAAAAGGAGATTTTGAGCAGTTTCAATTTTGCGCAAAGAATTCTGAAAGCTCCCCTGCAGTTCAAAGGAAAGGCACACAAAAAAGATTATGATAGTCCAAATATTACAGAAATTCAGTTTTTCGAATTTTCGAAGTGTTCTTTAAACGGACAGAAAAACATATCGGCAGTTCAGTCTGTGTATACATATATTTGATACGAGTTCCAAAGGGTCAACAACATGGGGTTGGAGTTAAGTCGAGATACAAGTTCTGAAGCAACATGAGATCGAATCTAAGTC